AATGTTTAGAAACACTCATTGTGTGTCAGATAGCTACTGATAACACATCCTAACATTGCTTTGTCTTGAGTTTATCTTTGAAACTTATAGGCACACAGATTAAACCTGTATTGTTGATTTTGGAAAACACTACTGAGGCTGCCTTGCTTCCCTTCAGAAAATATACATTTTAACCAACTTACATGACATTCTATGTTATGTTGACTTTATCATATGAAAGTTTATAGTGCATTTCATCAATTAATAAATAAATATGAAAATCGTAATTTTCAACACAAATAATAGTCTCGCTACCTTAAATCAGCTAATTTATACTACACTATCATTATAGTTATTCAATAATTCACGTTTATATATCGTTTTAAATAAAGAACAATTGAAACAATTTTGAATGTTACAATAATAAAACACATATGTGACAGTTACAGTGTTGAATCTCCAAGTGGAAATAAGACTTCAGTGGTGACAATTAACATAGTATTTTCCTTCTGAGAAGTATAAATTCTAGTAAAATTCTTTGTGTTCGTATTAAACCATTTGTAGTTGTGTTTGTGAATTTGTGCCTGTGTCTTTGTACAGTTTCAGACATTTCTCACCCATTTGTTTTAGTATATACCTAGAGTTTTTACTTTGTGCCAGCCAGTGCTTCCACAGGTGGAAAAAATTACAAAAAAATCCTGTCCTGCCATGGCAATGGACAACAAAATGATTGTTTTCTTCATCAGCGGAACACCCAACAGCATACCAGCTTGTATCTATTTTTGAAACTATTTTTAATACTGGATTGTAAATAGTTTATTTCTGTGTTTTGTGTCAATAACTGTAATGGACAATCAGAAATCACAATTTGTGCTTGGTCATTGTTACTGTGCAATAAAGGCACTCTGTTTAAATGTGCTATAAATCAAGGTGTTGAGTCATTGATGTTGACAGAAACTGAAAAACATTAAAATTTTTCCTTCTCATCTCATCACAAAAAGAACAGTATTGTATCTGATCTTTTTTGTTTTTGGATTTAAGATAAAATGAATTGACGTACATGTTTTTGGATTTAAGATAAAATGAATTGACGTGCATGTTTTTGGATTTAAGATAAAATGAATTGACGTGCATGTTTTTGGATTTAAGATAAAATGAATTGACGTGCATGTTTTTGGATTTAAGATAAAATGAATTGACGTGCATGTTTTTGGATTTAAGATAAAATGAATTTACGTGCATGTTTTTGGATTTAAGATAAAATGAATTGACGTGCATGTTTTTGGATTTAAGATAAAATGAATTTACGTGCATGTTTTTGGATTTAAGATAAAATGAATTGACGTGCATGTTTTTGGATTTAAGATAAAATGAATTGACGTGCATGTTTTTGGATTTAAGATAAAATGAATTGACGTGCATGTTTTAACTGTACAAAAATGATATTTTTTTTATTACATTGATATGTTTAAATTTCTTTAATTTTTACTTAAATATCAGTTTTTAAATCGGTTAACATTTGTAAAATGTTCATTTTTTTTCATCTCACAGATATAATGGCACATGGGGATTGACTGTTTTCTTCCTTTTCGTCCCCCCTTCAGTTACCTTCAATTTTAAGCCATATAAATGTAGGTAAACGTACAATACAAGATTTTGAAAAATTTGAAATATGGAATTATATATTCTGAAAAAATGTTTGGGTTAATTTGTTTTTAAAAATACACATTCACAAATCATGCACTTGATCCTGTTGATTTAATTATATATAATGTAATGCAAAAGTTATTAGCTCCGCTGTCAATGCAGATTTGTTAAATTTGTGAATATTTGTGAATATTTTTGTAATTTTTGGTAAAAAATGTTATTTTCAACAACTAGTCCTAAACCGTAAATTCAATTGCTTTCATATTTGCAGCAAGGATACGTGGGGTGGTCCTCTGTCAGATTCATTAAACTCGTCTCAAAATATGCAAATTTGGATTTTGAGTGAATATTTTTGTCATTTTTGGTAAAAAGTGTTATTTTCGACAACTGTCCGAAATCGTCAACCACAATGCCACTTTACTGATTCTTGTTCCATGATAATGAAGACAGCAGAGCTATTTCGACCGTCAGGTCGCTTGTTAAACATAGAATGTGACATAGAATATAGAAGGTGACCTGTTTTTAAGATCCGGTCTTGACCCTTATAACGGGCTAACAAAGTCTGTGCAACCATTGTTCCCAGGCTAAGCACTCAAAATACCATTGTACTTACTGTCCATTTGAAAGACTATTATATTCATAACTATTCTTATTCATAACTATACTCAACATGACAATCAATGGGTACACATTCTGAGACATTGCAGCTTTGGTCGGTTCCAAAACTCTCATTGATAAGTAGAACACAAATATTCAAATCACTGCTAATTCTAAAATTTCTTTATTTAATCATATAGTTGTAAAAATGGACGATATTAAGACAATAAACAGATTTATCCACAAATTCATTTTGAATGGACCAGACAGGGGGAATTAATTTATTAGATATTTTCGCTCTGTATCATGCTTTTAGTATCAAATGGATTCAATGTTTCCTAAACCCAACTGTCACCCATCCTTGAAAAAAATTCTCTCTTTTTATTTTAGACCCATTATCTTCAGAAGTAACAATCAAATTTCTTTACTACATGTATGTACCTCACTGCCATATTTATATATAAGAGCTTTCTGTACAGTTGGTCAAAGTTTTATATGTTCCAAAAGCAAACTTAGTCAGTAGAAAAAGTTGTGGTTTGGAACGACTCTAAAATACTCACAAATGACAGGAGTGTATGTTACCTTGACTTCATTTCCAAGGTATTATTTATATTGCTGGTTTGTATGATGTTGGTAGGTATCCAAAAACTTGGGACTCAACGCATAGGGCTAACAAAAACACATTTTCTCTATTATCAAGCATTACAATCAAGAATTCATCTCTGCCCACAAAATGGAAGTCATGCGAATAATTTTTTTGTTGCACCCGATAAGTTTTTTTCTTTGGACTGCATTAATTGTAGGAAATTTTGTACCTCCCAGAGGTGAAACATATTATCAATTTTTATTTGATGTTGGGGACAAGAAAAAAAATAGTATTTACTGCCATTCAAGGTTGCAATAGAATCAAAACTTCAGGAATTCCAATTGAAACTAAATCATGATATTTTGTATGCTAATTTTATGCTTTTCCGTATAAGACCTTGTGTAACCTTGAGTATGTATGTTTTGTAACAATGCCGAAAAACAGTTTTACACTTTGTTGAGTGGAGCTTATCATATGAGTGATTGTCCATCGGCGTCGGCATCAACTTTTACCTTTTTCGACTTCTTGTTGAAAACTACAGGCTTGATGGCTTTGATACTTAGTGTATCTCACTTAAATTCATTTCATGATGATATCATTAATTCTTATTTTGATGAATATTTTTGTCATTTTTGGTAAAAACCGCAAGTCCAATTGCTTTTATATTACATATATAGGTGGTACATGTGGTCCTTTCTCAAATATATTCATTTTATGATGATATCTTTAGTTCTCTAATTTTGATGAATATATTTGTTACTTTTGGTAAAAAGTGATATTTTCGACTTCTTGTAGAAAACCGCAAGTGGAATTGCTTTGATATTACATATACCGGTATAGGTACTACATGTGCACCTCTCTCAGATTTGTTCATTTCGTGATGATATCTTTAATTATCTAATTTTAGTGAATATTTATGTAATTTTTGGTAAAAAGTGATATT